GAGATCTATTAATGTCAATCTATCCAAGTGAACACAGAGTTCTATTAATGTCAATCTATCCAAGTGAACACAGAGATCTATAAATGTCAATCTATCCAATTGAACACAGAGATCTATTAATGTCAATCTATCCAAGTGAACACAGAGATCTATTAATGTCAATCTATCCAATTGAACACAGAGATCTATTAATGTCAATCTATCCAAGTGAACACAGTAATCTATTAATGTCAATCTATCCAAGTGAACACAGAGATCTATTTATGTCAATCTATCCATGTGAACACAGAGATCTATTAATGTCAATCTATCCAAGTGAACACAGTAATCTATTAATGTCAATCTATCCAAGTGAACACAGTAATCTATTAATGTCAATCTATCCAAGTGAACACAGAGATCTATTAATGTCAATCTATCCAATTGAACACAGAGATCTATTAATGTCAATCTATCCAAGTGAACACAGAGATCTATTAATGTCAATCTATCCAAGTGAACACAGAGATCTATTAATGTCAATCTATCCAAGTGAACACAGTAATCTATTAATGTCAATATATCCAAGTGAACACAGAGATCTATTAATGTCAATCTATCCAAGTGAACACAGAGATCTATAAATGTCAATCTATCCAAGTGAACATAGAGATCTATTAATGTCAATCTATCCATGTGAACACAGAGATCTATTAATGTCAATCTATCCAAGTGAACACAGAGATCTATAAATGTCAATCTATCCATGTGAACACAGAGATCTATTAATGTCAATCTATCCAAGTGAACACAGAGATCTATTAATGTCAATCTATCCATGTGAACACAGAGATCTATTAATGTCAATCTATCCAAGTGAACACAGAGATCTATAAATGTCAATCTATCCAAGTGAACATAGAGATCTATTAATGTCAATCGATCCTCGTAAACAGAAGAGATCTTTTAATGTCAATCTATCCAATTGAACACAGAGATCTATAATGTCAATCTATCCAAGTGAACACAGAGATCTATTTATGTCAATCTATCCAATTGAACACAGAGATCTATTTATGTCAATCTATCCAAGTGAACACAGAGATCTATTAATGTCAATCGATCCTCGTAAACAGAAGAGATCTTTTAATGTCAATCTATCCATGTGAACACAGAGATCTATTAATGTCAATCTATCCGAAGTGAACACAGAGATCTATTAATGTCAATCTATCCATGTGAACACAGAGATCTATTAATGTCAATCTATCCGAAGTGAACACAGAGATCTATTAATGTCAATCTATCCGAAGTGAACACAGAGATCTATTAATGTCAATCTATCCAATTGAACACAGAGATCTATTAATGTCAATCTATCCAAGTGAACACAGAGATCTATTTACATCAATCTATCCAAGTCACAAAGAGATCTATTAATGTCAATCTATCCAATTGAACACAGAGATCTATTAATGTCAATCTATCCAATTGAACACAGAGATCTATTAATGTCAATCTATCCAATTGAACACAGAGATCTATTAATGTCAATCTATCCATGTGAACACAGAGATCTATTAATGTCAATCTATCCAAGTGAACACAGAGATCTATTAATGTCAATCTATCCAATTGAACACAGAGATCTATAAATGTCAATCTATCCATGTGAACACAGAGATCTATTAATGTCAATCTATCCAAGTGAACACAGAGATCTATTAATGTCAATCTATCCAAGTGAACATAGAGATCTATTAATGTCAATCTATCCATGTGAACACAGAGATCTATTAATGTCAATCTATCCAAGTGAACACAGAGATCTATTAATGTCAATCTATCCAAGTGAACACAGAGATCTATTAATGTCAATCTATCCAAGTGAACACAGAGATCTATTAATGTCAATCTATCCAAGTGAACACAGAGATCTATTAATGTCAATCTATCCAAGTGAACACAGAGATCTATTAATGTCAATCTATCCAATTGAACACAGAGATCTATTAATGTCAATCCATACAATTGAACACAGAGATCTATTAATGTCAATCTATCCAAGTGAACACAGAGATCTATTAATGTCAATCTATCCATGTGAACACAGAGATCTATTAATGTCAATCTGTCCAAGTGAACACAGAGATCTATAAATGTCAATCCAACAAGTCTTAAAAGTACACAGTAATCAATAAATGTTGATCCATCCACCCTTTAGAGTATAGAAAAATCTATAAATTTCAATCTATCCATTCTTAAGAGTTTACAGAGATCCATAAATGCAATCCTGTCCACTCTTAAGAGTAAAATGAGATCTATAATCATAATCCATCTACCCTGAAGAATACACAGAGATCTAAAAATTTTAATCTATCCACTTTTTAGAGTAGAAAGAGATCAAATGTAAATTCACCCTGATGTTAACATATTCACACATATACCTAAGAGAACACTCTTTATCCAGTTGTAACACACACCCACCTATGAGAACACTCTTTATCCAGTTGTAACACACACCTACCTATGAGAACGCTCCTTATCCAGTTGTTACACCCACCCACCTATGAGAACACTCTTTATCCAGTTGTAACACATACCTACCTATGAGAACACTCTTTATCCAGTTGTAACACACACCTACCTATGAGAACACTCTTTATCCAGTTGTAACACACACCTACCTATGAGAACACTCTTTATCCAGTTGTAACAAACACCCACCTATAAGAACACTCTTTATCCAATTGTAACACACACCTACCTATGAGAACACTCTTTATCCAGTTGTAACAAACACCCACCTATAAGAACACTCTTTATCCAGTTGTAACACACACCTACCTAAGAGAACACTCTTTATCTAGTTGTAACACACACCTACCTAAGAGAACACTCTTTATCTAGTTGTAACACACACACCTATGAGAACACTCTTTATCCAGTTGTAACACACACCTACCTATGAGAACACTCTTTATCCAGTTGTAACACACACCTACCTATGAGAACACTCTTTATCCAGTTGTAACACACACCTACCTAAGAGAACACTCTTTATCTAGTTGTAACACACACACCTATGAGAACACTCTTTATCCAGTTGTAACAAACACCCACCTATGAGAACACTCTTTATCCAGTTGTAACACACCTACCTATGAGAACACTCTTTATCCAGTTGTTACACCCACCCACCTATGAGAACACTCTTTATCCAGTTGTAACACTCCTACCTATGAGAACACTCTTTATCCAGTTGTAAAACACACACCTATGAGAACACTCTTTATCCAGTTGTAACACACACCTACCTATGAGAACACTCTTTATCCAGTTGTAACACACACCTACCTATGAGAACACTCTTTATCCAGTTTTAACACACACCCACCTATGAGAACACTCTTTATCCAGTTGTAACACTCCTACCTATGAGAACACTCTTTATCCAGTTGTAAAACACACACCTATGAGAACACTCTTTATCCAGTTGTAACACACACCTACCTATGAGAACACTCTTTATCCAGTTGTAACACACACCTACCTATGAGAACACTCTTTATCCAGTTTTAACACACACCCACCTATGAGAACACTCTTTATCCAGTTGTAACACTCCTACCTATGAGAACACTCTTTATCCAGTTGTAACACACACCTACCTAAGAGAACACTCTTTATCCAGTTGTAACACACACCTACCTAAGAGAACACTCTTTATCCAGTTGTAACACTCCTACCTATGAGAACACTCTTTATCCAGTTGTAAAACACACACCTATGAGAACACTCTTTATCCAGTTGTAACACACACCTACCTATGAGAACACTCTTTATCCAGTTGTAACACACACCTACCTATGAGAACACTCTTTATCCAGTTTTAACACACACCCACCTATGAGAACACTCTTTATCCAGTTGTAACACTCCTACCTATGAGAACACTCTTTATCCAGTTCTAACACACACCTACCTATGAGAACACTCTTTATCCAGTTGTAACACACCTACCTATGAGAACACTCTTTATCCAGTTGTAAGGGCGAAACGATTACACGTGTAAACGGCGACGTTTCGATTATATGCTCTAAACGTTTACAGATTGAGTAAACGTTTACATGAAGGTCATTATCAAAGTCTATCAGAAATAAAGTTTAACACAAACAAATTGTTTTATTTCATAATTTACAAAAGAAACACCGTCTTTGACCATTTGATAAGCAACAATCTATACCGGAAACATATTGAATAAAAATATCTAAAACCTGATACGGTCTAACATATTTAATTCCGATTTCCAAGTTGCGAATACTAGCGATGTTTTATGACACTTGAAATATAAAACTTGATATATATTGACTAAATAAATATAATACATTTTCACAAGTCTTTGAAAAGTGTTTCTATAGAGTCAGCAGGTCTTGTTTTACTTTTTTTCGAAATTAAAAGATCCATCTTTACAATTCTCTTTCTACGTCCGGTATGTAGCCAAACAAACCAACGCAGTTGGGTGACGATGTAGAAAGTGAATGAGTTTAATGCGCCTCAAATTCTTATGTCATAATGACCAACAATGAAATTGCAATAACAACTCATACTTATATTAAAGTGAAAGAACTGATTATTAAAATTTGAGTTTCTGAGTAAGTAGCCATAAAAATCCAACATAAAACATGTCCCGTTTAAACGGTAACGTTTCGTTTACTGCTATCCGTTTAAACGTTTACAAAATTCAGTAAACGTTTCACCCTTATCCAGTTGTAACACACCTACCTATGAGAACACTCTTTATCCAGTTGTAACACACCTACCTATGAGAACACTCTTTATCCAGTTGTAACACACACCTACCTATGAGAACACTCTTTATCCAGTTGTAACACACACCTACCTATGAGAACACTCTTTATCCAGTTGTAACACTCCTACCTATGAGAACACTCTTTATCCAGTTTTAACACACACCTACCTATGAGAACACTCTTTATCCAATTGTAACACACACTTACCTATGAGAACACTCTTTATCCAGTTGTTAAAGTTCCGTAGATAGAAGATTCGACTCTGTGTGCGCACCGCTAGACCAGACTCCTGGAGTTCGTTATAATGCTTTGCAACTGTTTCTGATACATCCTGATAAAAGAATAGAAGACATAGAAAAAAATAATAATAATAGATTAAAACATTTAGAACTGCATGAAGTTTCTCTATGTAAAAAGTCCAAATCATTACAACACTGTACAAGGTTCTGCAAAAAAGTTTATTCAAACCACAAGAGTACAATAATATTATGAATAGAGTGGGCCAAAAACAAGCATATCACACACTTGCTCTTTTTCATTTTTGCTGGTACAAGTTTTAATTTAGTCTTTAATTAATAGTATAGGAAATGAGATCTCATGTGCTATTTACAGCATCAAACAAAATTGTATTCTATGACTTGAAAATTATTCAAATTAAAATTTGACCAATCTCTAAATTTAATAACATTAAAGTAATACATGTAGCTTTTAATGCTTGTCTAACTAAGCAATGATATAAGCATGTTAAGAAATGAATGTATCTGTTCATTTTTAAATGGGGGGGGGGGGGGGTCATAACCTTTCATTTTTTTTTCTCTACATTGATCATGTTGATTGATCTCTTCATCAGCACATTGCCCCCCACTAATTGACTGTCCTTGCAATGTCATATTAATTGTAAAGTAGCCTATCAAAGTGATTTCCTAATAGTATGAAACAACTAAATCACTTTGGATAAAAATAGTGTATTAATTAAGAACAAATGATAAGAAAATACAACAAAATCAAGTAGCTCTGGAAATCATGGCCTGCACCCAGCTTGGCGGAAACGCGGGAAGAGAGAGATCGATGGGCTCTCGAGCCCGATCCCAATTACAATTAAAAAAAAACACTCCCCAAATACACTACACCATTCTAGAAAACTCCTTTTTAGTAGGGATGTGCGATTTTATCGGTATACCGGTATATCGCGATTTTTTGTTGCGTGATACGTATCGTGATACGGAGACCTAAATACCGGTTTTTAGGTACATATTATAAAGTCCAGAAATTATTCATTTATTTGTTCAATCTTTCAAATTACAATTGCAGAAAGTATAAAAAATGTTGTAAAAAGTGAAAAGAACGACATCTTACCGTCCAAACATAATTGATTTTATATACATAAAAAATTCAAGAACGTAAAATTTTGTTTTTCTAGCATATTTTTTAGAAAAATAATGACTTTTCTTATAAAATCATTGTAAAAACTGCTTTTAAAAATATCATGATATTATCGTGATATTGTGGGAAAAAATCGTGATATATCGCGATACGAAATTTTTGGCGATACCCATCCCTACTTTTTAGTATCATCATGATCATATTTCAAGTGTGACGGTCAGCTGGATTTGATCACTGTTGACCAGATAGCTTATTTGGTAGAGCACCTGACCAGATCGAGATTCAGGGGGCCCGGGGTTCGAATCCCAGTCTGGTCCGCTGCATTTTTCTCCTCTCCCATTACATGATTAAGATGTTCAATACCCCTTTCTCGCTTTCTTTGTTCCTTACCTTCTCCTGTGCTGCTGGAGGCTCTGCATTATCTGCACTTTGTTCCTTTTCTACAGGTAAAGGAAATGGAAATACAAATACAATTTTTTGATTTAAAGCAAACTGGGTGAAACTGAATATTCATCGCCCATTTTATCAGTTATCAACTTGACTTATCACGTAGCATTTTTAATTTTTTAGCATTACAAAATTTGATAGATAATAAGGATTCAATCACATTCATATATGACCTACAATATGTATGAAGTGTGTGAAATTATGTTTAACATTTACACTAACATTGACAAAGGGATGAAAAACCCACCGATACTTTGAAGATTTCAATGAAAATGTCAGATAAACTGTCTAGTATTTTATATTTTAAAAATTAAGGTATGACTTTTGGGAGCTACCTGTATTGCATATAAGATGTACTAGATTTAATGCAAAACGAACAAAGAAAACAGTAAAAATCTAAATCTGCCTTACTTTCTGTTTGATCCATGCTGGATTTTAAAGAGCTGTTTGCGACATCCCAAATTCTTTGTGCATGTGTGAAAAAATTTCATAATATGATAATTGCTAATAATTTATCAGAAATTTAAGATTTTGTTATTAAGAAATAGCAAATGATCTTAACTTTCAGCAAATTATCGCTCTTATGTCGTAAACAATATTGACCTTCACCTTGAAAGAGAAAGTAGGGGTGCGTCGATTTACCCAAAAGGACCCAAAAGGACCCAAAAGGAACCCAAAAGGACCCAAAAGGACCCAAAAGGAACCCAAAAGGACCCAAAAGGAACCCAAAAGGACCCAAAAGGAAATCAAAAGGACTCGAATTAATATATTATAATACATTGAAAAATAATAATTTGAATTAAATTATGAATATTATATTATAAATTTACCTAAAAATTGGCAAAAACATACATTTATATTGTTGCAACTTTTCTTAAAGAAATAACATACGACTTTTATAACACATCAATCATTAAATCTGGTCAGATATGCTTTGATCTCTTTTAGCTGAATTTAACAAAGTGCACTGTATTATTCTATTTCTCCTTCTGTTTTATTATATCTTATTATATGATATTTGATAAATAGAGAAATAAGTTTATTTAATGACATGTTCTAGGCATATGGTATCGGGGATGGGTGGGGGTGGGGATGGGGGGGGGGGCTCCCACCTCAACCCAAACACGCACTTTACCCTCAAAAAATTAGTTTTAGTTTTAATAAAATATGAAAGTATTCATTATATATCCATTTAATCTCTTTATTTCAAGTCCTTTTGGGTCGTTCTTAATTTCCTTTTGGGTCCTTTTGGGTTCCTTTTGGGTCCTTTTGGGTTCCTTTTGGGTCCTTTTGGGTTCTTTTGGGTCCTTTTGGGTCCTTTTGGGTAAATCGACGCACCGAGAAAGTAGGCATCACAACGTGCGTTTCGTCTTCTCTGCATGTTCTAGTAAATTTTCTGTTGCATCAGCTTCTGTGAAAAAATATGAGCAATGTATGATTTAATTCGTTACCGTATCTTCTAAAAATCAAATATTTGAAGATGATCAGACAAGGAGGTTTCTTTGCAAGGCGCATACTTTTTTCTTCATTACGCAATGGATGTTTTGAATCTGTGTCTTGTTATGGTAAGAACAGTAAAGAAATTTATTTTATTTTAATCACATACTGTAAAAGTTTTGTATAGTTGTATCTGTTCATATTGATTTAATTATTTGCCTGTGACCAGTTGATCGTAGAAACCTGTCTAAAAACCTTCACTAAGTCTTGTTTTCACTCCTCCCTGTTCTTCCTGCAGTACGTGGCGTGCTGTACATACTCTTTCTTGTTATGCAATGTATAAAATGCAGTAGGGGGGCCTATATGATATGTTGCTAAACCAGACCAGGATTCAGGGTTCTCATTAATGCAAGAATCTGTGTAATAGACACAGTAAGGTTATTTTGGATGTCATGCTTTTTAAAAAAGAAAGCATCCACAGGGTCATGAGCAGATGCATCCTTCTGGGCAAGAAATTTTAAGTGTCTTTAAAAATTGGAGATTTTAGATGTTAGGATTATCCAAATTGTAAAACATTGAATCAAAACCTTACTGTAAATATCATATAGTTAGCCTATTGCCCCTACTCTACTTGTTGTCAAATAAAGAATGATGTACAAAGAGGGATAACACTCTGATTCAGATTCATTCTATGTTGACTAGGTGGGTCAGTTTATAAAGCACCTGTCTGAAGTTCAGGGGTCAGGGTTTGTATTCTGATTAGGTCTGTTACATTACTTTCTGTTACAAGTACCCTGATTTTATTTTTCAGGATATATGTCAAACTGCCAGTCTGTTACAAGGTTTTCAACAGAAGTAACAAAATACAGACAGTGGAGTTTACCACGGAAACTCCAGCTCTATCAGCCATTCAAAACATTAAGCCAATCCACAGAGAATGCAACCAAAGCAACAGCGGTTGAGACAGAAAAGCTGTCGGTGTTTAAGCGATTTAAACAGACATACAAGGAGCATGGTAAGGTGTTGGTTGGAGTTCATCTCGTCACGTCACTGGTTTGGTATGGCTCCTTCTACCTGATTTTGTCAAGGTGAGTCGTTTGGGCCAACAATAAAAACTGATTTGTTTGATGTATTCTGACTCATTCACCCAAATCACAACCTGATTATTTCATAGACACATTCTCAAGTTGCGTTATTTTCTTTAATACATTTTCTATCCATTTTTACATTGTTCAGACCAGTTAGACATAAAGTACAAAAAGACAGTTACAATCAGTGTGTCTTATCATACATCCTGTCAGAAATACTTGCATTCTTTCGTTGATATTTTCAGTGGTTTTGACTTGCCTGGCTTCTTAGAAAAAGTAGACTGGAATGCAAGAGTTGTGAAACCATTAAACTTCATTGGCATAGAGGTCAGTTTAGAGAGAATAGAGAAATTTGTTCAAGTCATGAAAACTTCTGGCAGCTATGCAGGGGCGTATCTTATGTACAAAATCGCCACCCCTGCCAGGTATACAGTAACACTCGGGGGAACAAACATGGCCATAAAATATTTACGGAAGTCTGGGAAGATTCCACCTGTGAAGGAAGCGGATAAACTGGGTCACCTGATGAAGGAGTCCAAAGTGGAGCTAGAGGCCAGAATGAAGAGTAGCGTGGCCCAGGGAAGGAAGAGGTACGACTCCATGAAGGCCAAGAGACTAGGAAATAAAAAACAGGGACAGTTATTGATGAAAGCTCAGGAGTTCTACAAGAAAAGAAATGGATCACGAAACGGGACAATGAAGACGCAAGACAAGTGGCTGACTAAAGCACGGGAGTTTTATAAAAATAGAAAAAAACGGAAGTCAAGACCCTCATAAACAAACCTGTCAAGTGTGTTATATATGTAGCCTCAAAAAATCTCAAAGCTAATTCTGAAACATTTAAAAATGATAAAAGGCATATTGTTTTTAATCCTCATTAAGATCATCATAATTATGAAGATTTAGTCTATTATTGTTCATTGGTGAATATTCCAAGGTGATTTTCTGAGTGTACTTGGACTATGATTTGCCTTGACTATCATTTTTCATCCACTTCTGTGCAATGATTGCTGTCATTTTCAATTTGCCATTATTTAATACAATTTGTTAAAATAATTTTTATTGCAACTAAGTCTGATTGAAAACTAAATATGTTTTAAGTTTTACATGTTATGCATATTTTATTAATGACATTGTATCAGATAATTATGTGGCAATGTATATATACCGGTACTTCTGAATGAATTACAGTAGAGTGTAGAAGCTCTACATTACTTCAATGTACACTGTATAATTAAATCAATTAAAATAATCTGCTACTGTTAAACAGTAACTTAAAATATTATATGATGAACTTTTTAATCTATATACATATTAAATATGTATAATTGTGTTTTAAACAAATGTTTTATCATTGCTTGAAGATAATAAAATAAATTATAAACAAAATCTTTTTTGTAGCTATTTAAAAAAAGGATTGTGCAGCATACTATCTCTGTTAGACACTAGTATGTAAGGAAAAAGAAAGACAACTCTAGTGAATGGTACTGTAAATAGTAAATGAGCTGTTAAGACTAGTCTCACTTTCAAGAAAAAGAAATTATCCTAACATAGTACAGTACAGTATATCAAATGTTTCATCTCAAATATATACTGCCGAAAAGGACAAAGCATGGAATTTTTTTTACTACCCTTTTCTCAGATTTCCTTAATTATATTTTTTTTAAAAAGCTTGAAATTTAATATTTGATTAAAGTGGTAAAATAGTATTTAATACTTTTCTTGATGTCTGGTACACTCGTCTCCTTCATTTGCAAGAATTTTGAATAATTAATTTGCCACATATTACCATCAATATAGCGGTTAAAAAACATCTGATGATTGCAGAAGAAAGCACTTGTTTCAGAATTTGTAACCAGACTTACTTTGATAATTTGATTTGCGGAACTTTGGAAAACCCTCGAGAGAAATATTGAGCAATGTTTTTATCTTGAATAAAGACTAGATTCAAGCCAAATATTTTTATTTTTCACCTATGTTTTTTCACGATTGTCGACCTAGATAAATAATTCAGATTGAATGGGAATTCTCTTCGAAAAATGTTTGAATACAACACACAGATGTAATAACTAATAAGTTAGAATATTAACTACTAACAAAATGACTGACGAGCTTACGAAGTAAATAAAATGTCTACTAGTTTTTGACAGCGATATAAAATGATTTCCAACGTTTGGGTGTCCTATTGTCAGGCTATCAGGAAATAACATATCTTATTTGGATTTACAGTTTCAGTCAAATATTGATAAATGATTATATGTTGTTTAAACTGGTAAAGTGTATCACCATACATGACCTGAACTCAGCACTCAGGGCCACTGCGCAGTGAGTTTTCTTGTGCTGATGCCTACCCTGACAAGGGACGACGTACAGTTTTAAGGTCTAATGCAAATAGGTAATATCACATTCAAATATATGGCATGCAAAATTCACAAAAAATGAGCTAAGTATAGTTTCCCAATTGATAAACTAGGTTTATCGACTGTAAACTGGCACGCCAAATTCGCAAAAATGAGCTAAACATAGTTTCACAGTCGATAAACTAGGTTTATCGGTTGTAATCTATAGTTTACGGACTGTAAACTATAGTTAACAACGTTAATCTATATTTTACATCCGTAAACCATAGTTAACGCGATAATCTATGTTTCACAACCGTAAACTATACTTAACACTGAAAACAATCATTTGCGATTGCAAAACATAGATTATCTGATAAATACAGTTTCACGATTTGTAAACTATGGTTTACAAACCGTTAACTATAGTTAACGATCTGATAAATATAGTTTCACGATTTGTGAAACTATGATTAACAACTCTTAACTATAGTTAACGATTGTAAACTATAGTTTACAAACGTGAATCTATGTTTATCAACAAAATCTATTGTTAACGCTTATTACAGACAGATAAACTTAGATTATCATTCGTAAACTATAGTTAACAACCGTTAAATATAGTTTTACAGATGAAAACTATACTTAACTTACGGTTTGTAAACTATAGTTTACAGTCGATAAACCTAGTTTATCAAATGTGAAACTAGGTTTATCTCATTTTTGTGAATTTGGCCGTGAACTATAGTTTACAATTCGTTAACTATTGTTTTCATGTGTAAAACTATATTTAACGATTGTTAACTATAGTTTATGAATGCTAATCTAAGTTAAGAACTGATATAAAATATTCACTGATTATATCTATCTGTATCAAAGTTAAAGTATTCATAAATAAGTATGTATTAATACCTCTAAAAAATAATTTAAGCGCGGTATCTGCCATGTCTAGTTACTAGCATTTATTTGAAGTTCCTAAAAGAACAATAAATGCACTCTACGAGCCGTTAATTTTGCCACAGTTTTCCAATACACGCAGCTGTGTCCTTTTAATTAAACAACCTTAGGATCGAAGTATTTCCAAAACATAAAGATTCTCTTTGTTATAACAAGAATTCCCCGAAACACACAATTCAACCCATTTTTTTTTAAATCAAGTTTGCTTCAAATGGACTGTAGTAGAGAAAATACAAATGGTTCAAATATGAAAAGACCTTGATAACACTCAAATTGAATTCAAATTGCCTATACTTGATTTCAAAACTATACTATACTTGATTCCAAAACTATACTATACTGGATTTCAAAACTATACTATACCGGATTTCAAAACTATACTGGATTCCAAAATTATACTATACTGGATTCCAAAACGTAAGGTAGGATTCTTCTCTGGTTTCTGACTAAATGAAGTATTCAAAGTACATTTGCTTACATGTCTTATATATTTAAGTGTATGATGGCTGTTTGACATCATAGACAACTACTTAAGAAGGGTGCATGTTAATTTGTTTACGTATCTTGTCAACTGCAAACTAACTATATGCAGGGAAATTGTTTTCTTATTTTCACATATAGTGAAGTTGTCACATAAAGAAAACAAAAACTTTTGATCGTTTACTAAGAGGGGAAAACACTTTTTACGGTTTCTGGCTCAAATTTTACTTAGATTGAAAGCTTTTAAAAGCTAACACAGTTTTAGTTTGTTTGAAAATTAATATTTATTTGATATATTTGGAGTATGGAAATGACACAAAACTCATGTGAGGCTTTTCAATTATTTATTTCGCAATGGAGTGACTTAGTATATCATTATTAATACAGTCCTGTAAATTTCATAAAACAACAATAAATAGAATGTAAATATCACTCATATACTGTTCACTACTTTACATGAAGATAATACTTAGATTATCATCTTCTATATTTTATACATTATAATCAAAAAAGGGGGGGGGGCGTCGATTTACCCAAAAGGACACAAAAAAATCCAAAGGACACAAAAGAAACCCAAAAGGAATATATTATGATACACCAAATATGAATAATTTGAATTAAATTATGAATATCATATTCAAAATTATTATCTCTTAAAAATATATCAATTGCTCACTTTGAACAATATAATCAAAAATATCTTGATCATCATGAAAACACATAATCTGATTAACATCAAATTACTTCTATCAAATACTTCATATTGATCTTGTAATGAATAATAAATATGCATCATAAAATAACTTTCTCTCAAAATCATTCATTCACTTAGTAAGTGCAAATGGGAATAGCTTTTGCATACTATAGGATAAACATTTAAAATAAGAAAATATTAGTAACTTACCAGAGAAGGAAATCTTCAGTCTCGAGTCAATGTCTTTAGGTCAGGCCTGATCAACCATGGAACAATAATGGTCGTAATAAAACAGGAAAACTAACCCAGCCAAGAAAACCAATCGAATCCGACCTTTCAAATCAATAACCAATAAAAACCAACATCATAATGACCACTTCCAAAATACCTCATCAATGCCCTGGGGTATATAAAAATATGTACAGGTAAGTGAGAACTAAGAAGTGGATCTAGGTTTCTAATAGCAATCTAAAAAAAAGTTAAAATAAATATTCTGGCAAGTTCTATAACTTTATTTTACACAAATCCAACACTATTACGTATTTTTGAAACCTTGGTCCCTTATTATCAATTTAAATAACCGTTGAATTTTTTTTCGTCTTTGATTGTGTCAAAATTATAACTAAATTCAATGTTCTATAAAAGGTTTGAGAGGCAGAAAATAAGATATTTACATAAGCCATCATTCCGCCAAATATATAGTCACTGCTAATTTTTAACCGCAGTTTACCATTTCTATTTAAAGTTGTACAATCGTGATAAGGAAAGAAAAATATGGTCTTTTAAATCTCTTACACCTAACTACATAAGACATATAAGCAAATATATTTTGAATATTTCATCTAGTCAGAAACTTGAGAAGAATCCTACCTTAACACCACTTCTCGAATATATTGTTGCACCGTACTCTTGAAGTTTCTCCTTCACTACTGTTAATATCTTAGTGAGGAGTAAAGTAAGAGACTTGATTGAACATTTACTGGAACCCTCTATGTACTTAGTATCTTTGCTTAAGGAATTTTATGAATTTTTTGGAATCCAATATAGATATGGTACTAGTAATTCAACTTCATTTTAGTTGTTTTGAATATTTAAAATATTCAAAACAGACATATAATTTTGAAGAAATTCTTCCTTAGAAAGGGAACTACATGTAGATATATGAGTATAATTTGGTCGCCAACTTGTTTACAAGTTTATTTTTGTTATGAACACGAATTTACTGTAGTACTATTATGAACTGAAAAAATGCATACCAGTAAAAGTATTTAGTACCAATGCCCAGTGACTTTGTATTAATAGGTTTCCCTTAATTTTGTCAGAAAAATCGCATTTGATTCATTTGAAGGGAAAACAAACAGAAAGTTGTTTTATCGAGTGTGAATAGTAATGTCAGCGACCTTAGAGCTAATTTGGCAGGAGAATTTTATAACTAACTTACTGCAATATTGCAAGATCGTTATCCCCCAGTCTCTCTAACTGGAATATTTTTCAGCATTTGAATCGTGGAGGACTAAAACAACGAGCTTCTTATCCTACAATTTCCTTAATCTAATATCAATACCAGGACATAAATCGTCAAAAGAAAATACATCTATATCGAAATTAAGTAAAGAAAGTAAATATGACAGCAAAACGAAGTGTGCAAAGTAGCATATTATATTTGGTTTACTTTATTCAAGGTGTTTTATTACGAGTTGAGATAAAATGGATCTGATTAGGTTAAATTCTCATTGTGTATAACTTTTTGATAAGATGAAATCAAAAATAGTTTACCTCATTAAATTGTGCCTGCTTTTTCTATTTTTCTCCAAACACAGATAAATTTGTCACAGAAATGAAAAACGTGAGATTTTATTATTTTTTTTTTTGTCGTCATGTATACATACATTGTC